ATAGATTGAGAGATGATACAAATTTTAGATAGATAAAATGATGGATGGATGAGTAGATGAGTAGATGAATAGATGGTTAGATGAAATAGAATGACAGTATTGGACAAAATGGATGGACTGATGGACATATAATCTTAAAACGATACAGCAATGGATGAAACGATGGCAGAAAATTTGATGGATGGATAACTGGAAGGAAAGATTGATGGATGGATGGATGGATGGATGGATAGAAAAATATATGGATAGAAATTGGATTAACTACATAAGAATCTATATAACAATATGACTGGCAGACAGAAAGAAAGAAAAAAGAAAGACAGACAGACAGAATGACAGACATCCAGACAGACAGATGGATATTTACTCTGAAACTGAAAATCAGGGCACATATGCGAGCCACACTCGTATACGTTATGCAGTTGAGTAGATGCGCTCCTGTTAACAGTGAAACCCACAGAAAACAAATAAATAAAACTGGCGCTCTTTAGACAGTGCTTTTATCACTTCTCGAGGAAGAGCATTACAAAGAAAATAGTGAGTGCACTTTTAACCCTGACCCCGTGTGAGGAAAGAGTGGCCTAACTGTGGCCTTACCTGTAATAAACCTCTACCAGGACAACTAGATACTAAATCACTCTACAGGACTCTAGAGTATCGAATGTCGCTACAAGAGTACACACAGACACACGGCCACAAACAAACACATGCAAATCCACGCATCGCAACACAAACAAGCCACCTTGACTATCACGCTTCCACTTCAAAGTAGAAATATTCAACCTAATTATCATCTCAAAAAGTTTATTTACCAGAAAACGGTAGCGGAAAATGTGAAACTTCATCGCGTATGTGTGAGGGGAGTTACTCACAGAGCCAGAGGTCTTGGCAGGGCACCCAAAAGCTGTAAAGGTTTAGTACCGACCCACAACCTGTTTACTCCATACTGAGTGACTCTAGTGTGAGGCCGTGATTCATTTGCTTTTTCTTTCTATTTATCATTCCTTCTTTCTTGTTTTTTTTATTTTCATTAAGATTTTTCTGACAGAATGCGTAACATGCATCTTTAACTATATAACACTAAGCTAAGTTGCACACGTAAGCATCATATTTAGTTGATTCAACTGAGAAAGAAGACGTTTAATTTCTAAGCTAAAATTTACTGAAATTCCTACTCATTATCGTAATTTGTTTGGGAATCAGGCTATATTGCATATGTAAATTCCCTTATAGGGCATTCATTGAAAAAAAAATGGGTCGGAACACCTTACAACTTTAATGACTTTATGAAAATTCAAATTCAATGAAGTTACCATATATAGTTCTTTGTCCAATAAATGGTTAACCCTATAAACCCCGACCAGTGTTGTATTAGTTAAGCCACGATCAAGGCCCGTTTTCACATGGAACACTTTTTGTATGCTTTTTCATTTACGTTCAATGCTTCATAACTAAATAAAGGGTGTCAATGTGATAGTGTACACTAACGCGTAAAACGCCAGTTGTAAAATCGTAATTTTTAAAGAAACACCTCATGCTTGTTTATGGTTTTGAGGAGCCATGTCAAAAACTTCTACACCAATCAGATTGGCACTTTTGTTCATGTGCATGGAGCTGCTGAAGTTACAGTACAGATCACTTAAGGGCGCTCAAGCACAAAACTGTCAATGCGAGCACACACTGAAGAAGATGCACAGAGGCGATATGAACGTGGAGCATGCCATCCATGCTTGTTCGAATCACCAGAAACTTTAACAACAGGCATGTCAACTTTCTTCTTATTATTAAAGTTGTGTAGTGCCACCTTTTGCACCAGGGTCTTTACGTTTTTCATTAAGCGCCATCTAACGTAGAGTGATTTTGCATACTCTTTAGCTCGACGCCAGTGTAAATCACTTGGATTTTAATGCAGAAATTGCTGAAGATAAACGCAAGCGAAAAGCATCCCGGTGTTTATGAGCCTCCACACTGCACTTTTCTTCCCATAGACTTTCATTCATCCACATGCAAACGCGACAGACCAGAAACACAAGCTCGTGCAAAAAGTTTCACAGTTTTCTGGGTTTAAAGATCCAGCTTGGTGAACTCTGACCCGCAAAATTGCATCATCGGACTGCTTGAGACCAATAGAAGATCAAAACATGACCTCTCTGTACAGAAATTTAAATATAGACCAATCGAACGCTGTTTTTAATGTCTAAATCATCTTGCCGTATGACTGAATTTTGCAAGCACAAACTGTAGTGTGACCGTGGCATTACTTCAAAAAGTAATTGATTACATAATTAATATTGTATTTGAATTACTTGTCTAATTATGGTGTCTGAAAAAGAATAGAATTACTCAGTAAAATTTAAAATAGACAATGACATGAAATCCCTAAAAATTTCAACATGAACAATGAAAATGAAACTTTCTTAATCCCTAAAGTCAAACTGAGTCTTTAGCTACATTTAAAAACATAATACTTAAAGAACCACTATATATAGTCAATAATTCCCTATTTAATTTATCGTTTCAATATCAATTGTCAGAAATGTGTATAAATA